CCTTTGAGTCTCACAGGGTCCCCCCCCCCCCATCATTTCCCGTTCACCACCTCTTCCAGCTATGAAGTTCGAAACCCTGGAACTGAACTTCCTATTTATTCTCTCCCCACTCTCATCTGGTTCTTTTCCTTCAGCTTTCAAAAGTACTCCTCTATAACTGCTAAAAACCTGACCATATTTACTGCCATATTTTTCTTACCCCCTCTTTCTTCCTTAAACATGGATGCTCCGATGCCTTTTTGCTCTCTCCAAGACTCTCAAGCCTGTGCTTCTTTCCAAGAAAAATGTTCTTTTTAATGTTACAAATGACCTATTCCTGGCCAAATCCAAGAGCCTCTCTCTTCTCTACTACCATCATTTGCTGTTGACCAACATTTTTGGACAGTTAACTATTCCCTCCTCAACTTGCTCATTCTTGAACTCCCATGAGTCTGCCTTTTGCTGGGTCTCCTCCTACCTGTCCAATTGTTCCTTTAGGAACACTATTTTTGCTCCTTTAGCCTCCTCTCTGCTCCCTCTAATACTCTGTTTCAGGATTCTGTCCATGGCCCCTTAACTTTTTCCTGGTGAATGATCTCATCTGCTCTCCTAGTTTAGCTACTGTTTCCCAAAAGTGCCGTTTCCTCCTGGCCTTTCCCTGATCATCTAGTTTTGAATATGGGCATTTCATCTCGGACACCTATCATTAAATTAACAAAGACTGAATTCCTCATCTTTCCCAAATTTCTCACTCCTCCCAAGCAGAACTTAATAAAAGTATTAAGGTTTCTGGCAGAAAAACTTCTAAAATTTCTACAACTGTTAAGAATTGGGCATTGGTGTTAAAAATTATTTCTCCTTCATTTACTTAGCCTGAAAAAAATTAAAGAACTGCAGCCATAATACTAACCCACTGCATGAACATTTTAAAGTGTTATAAACTCAGAACAGAATACTTTTTACAGGATCTACATTTAATAATATTTTTAATTTTGAATTATCTTGCAGCACACCACAGGCTTAACATAACATATGACACATGGGTAAGGATCACTTTACCCACTCCTAAAAATGAAGACAAAACCTTTTGGCTGGAACAGGACAACTACATAACAGTCGTATCAATAATACAAAACCAAACTTGTGACATAATGAAAGATTTAAAGACTTGGTCATACTCAAGTCATTTTCCCTTTGCTCCTCTGTCCTCTCAATGGGACTTTAAACCAAATACTGTCCTTGAACCCACACTCTTCCTATTGCAACAAACACAAGAACACATGGTATAGCCTTTGGACAGGTTTGCTGGAATGCATCAGATTTAAGGAGTGGACAGCACATATTTTTGAAGCAAGACACTACTTATATAGAGAATAAATCAAGCGGCCTCTACATCAATGCCTGAGCAGCAGTTATTTGAAAAGACCACAAGAGGAGAAAGAAATATTTAATTTGGCCCTGTTTTATTGTGCCAGCAGTGACACCATGAGGGTAAAAATTGAAAAAAAATCCCATTAAAAAAATCAGTTTAATAAATCTGGCATGACAACTATTCATTAGTTGTAACTACAGACCGACTTAATTTGCAGTTTCATGAATTTCATGAAAATCATGAAATCTGGAATTGTCTGCAAACTCCATGAAATCAACCCAAAAAACTTACTAAAATGTGCCAGCTGGTGGGGTGGCATGAAGGGCAGTAGACAAGATGGCAGCTTCCCCCCCCTGCCCCTACCAGGGCCTCTCTGACAATCAGTGCCGAGGGACGGGGCCACAAGAAGAGCAGCTGGCAATTGAGATAGCGGCTGCTCCCTCCTCCCCCCTTCCCCACCAAGGCCTCTCCGCCAATCAGTGCTGAAGGGCAGGGCTGCTGTGAAATGACTGCACAATTAGAACTTTATGCCACGATCAACCTATGAAAATTGGTAAGTCCCCCCACAATTTAGGTAGACCCCTAGTTATAACTGCCTGGTCACTGCAGACTATCACCCCAGGGAGAAGCAAAGATTATTTGATTGTCCTAATTGCAAAGCCATGTTTTGAATTTCTATTTGATCCTAACTTAGTTTCCTGTATTTAAAATGCTTGCTGTAAGCTGCTCGGTTGCTGAAACCAAGCAGTATAACTCTCAGCTTCCACTATGTTTCTCAACATAGTTTTGTACCTGAGATTATTGAATAGAGTTGCTTTCAATTTAACCTGTCTGCAGTACATCTACGGGTTTAGTTCAGTTATTTTAGGTCAGTCACCGCTGCTTTCATTATTGAATCCCATTACCCATCTTTGTAAATTTGTTTCTTCAAACTCTTCTCCCACTTGTTTCACATTCATGGTTTCCTATCACTGCTATTCTTAGAAATTTCAATATTTCCTAGTATTTCTTACTTATGGGTATTCATGTGCTAGGAAGACCTGAAAAATCAATTGTTTTAAAAACAGCTTATTTTTAAAACAAAACTGATGACCGATTTATTTAAATTTAAAAAACAACATTCAGCTATCGGAGGTGAGATGAGATTTCAGAGACACTTTTTGCTAGAAACAGAGGTTCCGGTGTTACTGTGAAGAGGGAAAATGTTCTTACCTCATCTGCAAGCTTTCGGTTAAAAATCTTCGACTCTTCTAGCGGTGACCAGATTTTTATATCATAATCAATACCCGATGAAGCAAGAACTAGAAATTTACACATAAAATAGTATTAGGAAAAAAATTCTGAAGTGCTTGTTTTCTTCACGTCTTAAATGGAATTTGACAGAAGTACATCATTAAGCGCATGTCTGCACACCCCCAAATATACCCCTCATCCAATTAAAAACATGCATTTTACATGGAAATACATAATCCTGCCAACACTTACACTACTGGGTCTATTGTGTTTGATGAGACTAAGTAGCAAGCATTTTTATGGGAACTGAGACAGATTAAACACAAAGAAAATAAATGCCAATTTCATATTTGATTTCTTTTTCTTTATACAGAATGTGCATAGTTTAAAACTAGAAAGTTTCTGCGACTATTATACTCTCTGATAACTCAGAAAACATTTGTTGTCACAGTAAAGACTGCAGGACTTGCAGGTCCATAAGCAACAACAGATGCAAGCACTCCACAAATTAAACAACTATTTATTTCTTCAAATTTTTGTAACGTACATTTCAAAAGTACATGGTGTTTTGAAAAATAGTTTTAAAAATATCTGCAACATGACAAAGAACTGGAGGGTCCTAAGAATTACTGCACTAGAACAACACAGAGCAGGGAGCTGTTAGGAGGCTTTCAGCTGACATGACTTTGAGTCAAGTGCCAGCCCTTTGCCTCAAGGGCTGATCTCCACTGTTCCTTTTTCAAAGACACAGCTGGAAGGAAGCTGCACAGGATTAAGTCTCAGGGAAGTTGCAGGTATATTTTGGGAAAGATTCTGAAAGATTTGGTCTCACAGGGGGCCAAGTAGCGGCACATTTAACACGCATCTAGGACCAGGCAATTTCATTAAACGTTCAAAAGTTCAGATGCTTATCCAAACTAGGAGAGTATCCCTTTAAGTATGAACATTTTTCTCAGATTCTCGGTCTTACCAATTACATTTGTGATATTAATATAGATGAAATATTATTAAAAAAACCTCTTGCAATGTTATATTAATCCCATTTCATAGGAAAATGTGACTGGATGGTGCTTAGCAGGCCACTGAGACCAGTCCACTGAAACTGCAACCATTTGACCAAAGAGCTCAGCAGATCATTCCTATGCCAACTTCTCATGTTAGGAGAGTAACAAAAAGCACCTTACAACATGCCTTCTGTAAAATCACGGGATTCAAGAGAGCTGTCATTGTCCTGACACTGCAATGGCATAGAAAAGGGATGGGTAAAATGGTGGATCCAGCCAGCAGCTGGACTCCATTTCTCAGCAACTCCAGCCCACGTCACTGTGGCCGTTTTCCATGGAAACCCAACAGCAGTGATGCCATGATGTCACTGGCAGGGTGGGCAGCTAGGCAGGGAACTGCTCTGCGGCCGGGGCTGGGATCTTTCAGTGATGACGGTGTGGTCCGGAGCCAGGACAGTGGAGCACAGCTGTACCTCAGCTCCGGACTACGCTGTCGCTGCCACAAGATCCCAGACCCAGAGCAGCTCATTGCCCAGCCGTGCATCCTGCCAGCACTGCTAGGTCTGGTGTCCAGAGAAACCCTGGCCCTGCGCAGTCATGGCACTGCTGTTGAAACCAGTCACAGCAACACAGGCAGGGGCTGCTAGGAAACAGAGTCTACTGTGGGCCCAATCCAGCCTGTGGACCAGACTTTGCTTGCCCCTAGCATAGAAGGTAATAAGTAAATACATGCTTGATGGTCCTTGGAAGAGACATCTGTCCCATGCTACAGAGTAATGCAAATCTATCCATAGTCCTTGCAAATCTGATCTAACAAAAAAATTCCTTCATGACTTCAAATCTGGCAACTGTTTCGACTTGGACCATATGGCAAAGCCCTCCAAGCTACTACATACAACTTAGCGAAAACTCACATCTCTAAATGGGGCCAATGTCCTATGCTTTAGAAGAGGACTCAGCAATCTACAGCCAGCAAAGAGTGTGATCCAACATGGGGGATTGGTGGCATAGCACTGCACTGTGCCACCTATCCTCACTGCAGCACCTGCTGCTCTGCTGTAGCTGTGCTTCCCGTTGCTGCAGAGAGAATGGGATCAGAGGCAAGAGTAAATGCAGGCAGCTGACTGCCTGACGAGTGGGAACTTGTGGTTCACAGTGGGGGCAAAGTCACAAAAGGTGGCCTGCACCAACCAAAGGCTACCAAGCCCTGCTTTAGAGAAAGGGAAAGAAACACCTAGAAACCTTAGAGCATTCAAGAGAAGAAAAAAATCCTCCCTGGCTCCTACTGGCATCCAGAAGAAGTCTATAGAAACTATGGCATTACCAGATGCTTCCCCCACAAAGAAAGTGTTACCTTTCAACCCTAACACAGGGATAGCAAATAACTGAATGCTCTTGATCTTAGCCCACAAGAGGCCGAGAAGTGATCATCACATGCACTACTCATCCGCGAACGCCTGTGTCCTATGATGTTATCCTTTCCATAAGCTTCTCAAGTTCTATCTTGAAGCAAAGCAGGTTCCTTAGCTTGACCGCTGTAAACTTCACTCCTCTGCATTAGGTATTTTCTCATTCCCAGTCTAAATTTGTTCTTTCAACTTAATTTACAAGATAGCTCTTGACTCCCTAAACCATCCTTCTTAGTACCCATTCCAGTTTAAATTCATTTTTTAAAATAGAGATACCTATGTATTGCCAGTGGTATGAACACTTCCCTGTTTTTACTGCATGCACCATGCCTAATTCACCCTAGAATAAAACTAGCCTTTTTCACAGCCGCATCGGAGCAGCTCATGGTCATCATACAATATGCAATACACCTAAATACATCTTTTCCTCTGTTTCCCTCAAGTCTGAGTTTCTATCTTATAGCAACTGCTCTAACTGCATGACAACACTTCAGACTATTCAACTTTGTACTATTTCTATTCTACTGCACACCTTAAATCTTCTTGGACAGTAATCCAATCTTTCTTCATATCTCACCTTTGCATCACCTGAACATTTTGCAGCAAGGTATCTAATGGAAATGCTAAACATTACAGGGAAGGTCACTGGATGATACTAAGCAGCTTAAGTCATAGGAAAAACAACAATAACAAAAGAATTGAAGGCATTTACTCTGAATGCATCAGAAACTGCAAAATGTTTCAGTCTTCATTTTCATCTAAGATCCAGATCACATAATCTTTCCTCTAGAGCAACAGATCTATCTCTAGAATATTTTCAAAAAAATTCCCAAGAGATACATGACTACCACAGCTCTTTTGTCTCAACTCTACTTTTTTCCTACCAAGTCTGCAAGTTTGAGACATCTCCTGCTCAAGACTCAGCCAGCAACAAAAGTTGTCAGATTCCAATATTATTTCCCATGCTATTTTATGTGTGGGGATCATTGAGCTTTCTTTCTCTGTGCATGCTGAAGTAGAAGAGACTCTCTTTCTGTATCCTAACCTCCTTCAAATGCCATCGGATGTCATGTGTTACCACCTTTTTTGTACTGAGGAACTATAGGATATGGCAGCCTCTGTGGGCCAACATTTACTATTAAAAGACTAGAATGGCAGCAATATGTTGCCTTCAGGCAAGCAAGATTCACCCTCAGGCTCTTAATGATTTAGTAAAGTGACCCTTGGTAGAACAAAATACTGAAGACTCAGCTTTCCAAAAACATATTATCAGCCGTATGAACGTGTACACTACAAATGGAGATGGTCTTACTCGGGTCAAATGGATGAGGCTGAAGACAATTCACCACATGATTATCAGCTTCCAGCAGCATGAGATGCTCAGCCGTATGCCGATCCCAAATGAAGATATGGCCACAATCTGAACCACTCATAACAAAGTTAGAGCCCCAAAAGTTGGCTTCCTTTATCTGTAGAAAATAAAATTAATTAAATATTTGTTACACTTCACACAATTAGCCCAGAAATTATTCCAATCTCTAAATAAATACCCACTTTGAGAACAAAGCTGGCCCTAACCTATGGACTTTAAAAACAAAGTAATAGTAATGGTAAATGTTAATAGTACATGTTGGCTGCATTTAGATATATGACAGGATCAGAGTGACTGCTGAACCTTCTGGGTCTGCCAAAAAGTGTGTGACTTATTGTCTAACGTTCCCTTACAGCCAGGCATTATGCAGCCAAAAACTATGCCAATAACTTCCTTTGTCCCAATGGGGTCCATCACTTATTGCAATTCAGCCCTCTTTCTGGGTTACATATAGTTTGACCGCTTCTGGGTCAACAATGCCCTAAATAAATTAAATGCCTGCCAAAATAAATACAAGTTTATATTTGGACTCCTCTCTAGCTTTACCCCTTGGGCTCCTCTCTAGCCTTACCCCTCTACCCTCAGATCAGTAACACAATGGACACCCTCCTACTATCCCTCAAGAAAACTCAATAAAGAAGGAAAATACAAAACTTGATGACTCTCTCTCATCCTACGCTTGAGATTTTTTTAAAACTCTCTTATACTCCCCCTATTTCTTATATTCTGCAAGGCTCTTCCACAAAGGGAAATTCAAAATCACCTCTCTCTCCTTTTCTGTCAGCCCCACATGCACTCAAATTCCTCCCTTTACCTGCCTAGATCCCCTTCTCCAGGTGTACCAGGTGAGGTTAATATAGTTTATAAGCTCTAGTTAATCCCTTGAAGGTTGGTATGAGATTTATGCAGCTCAGGATCCCAGAAGTGAAAAATCTTATGGTGGAGATGCCATTTCCCCCATTGACTACTCATCAGGTGCATGCCGTCAGGGCGGATTCAAATTGTTTATGTACGTTTCCCTCAACAACTCCCACCTCTCTTAGATGAGAGGACAAAGTCTCACTGCTAGTGATGTCAAAGACTGTTTAGAGATCCAAAGAGATGAGAATGGACGTCTCTATCCTCCACCAGTTCCACTGAGATGATTTCAGTTCCACATCTAAATTCCGGAAAAGATTCTTCTAGGTCTAAAATATTAACTGCAACTTGACTATCCCATAGATGGCTTTTACCTAGCTTCTCAATCAGCTTGCTCAGGAATTGGGAACTCTATGAATCAGTGATAGTTTGCTGGAAATTATGTATCCAAGGTAATTTTCTTCCATGCTGAACTATTGCATGTTCAAAGAAGGAAAGATTCCTTTTCTAAATGAGACCCTATTTTGGTCAGGAATGGCACCAGGTGCTCATGACTCTCTCATAAGGCACAAAGGGTGTACAGAGGATACAGAGAACTAAAGGATAAGATTCCCTCAGAATGTCCACATCTTCTTAAATGAATAAGTATACTAAATGTTAGGAATACACATGGACTGTTAAGTGCTAGATCCATTAAATCTTTTCAGAAATACAGAAAGAGAGTTCTAGAGCCTATTTTACATCCGAGCTCCAAGATTTGTAGGCACTCAAGACTGATGAAATGTTCTGGATACCTCCATCAGGCAGGATTTGACAAGTTACAAGGTAATCAAGCTTTAGTATATGCTTTGAGAAACCACCTATTTTCTGTCATCTGTGTTCAAATGTCGGTTCTCTCCATCTGCGGCAGATGTCAGCTAAAGGAGGAGATGGAGAAAAAGGAACTTCTTGAGGCTAGAACACAATTGTGATTCACTGCAGTCCTGGACTCCTTACTCAGCAGCTCAAGTGCAGTCGTCTAGTTTTGGAATTTGCTGAAGCCCACAAGTGTTCATGGCTGAACCAGCTCCCCGGTCTTTCTTGGTGCTGGGAGCTAGAAGATCTCGGATCACTGTTTTATTTAAAATGACAGTCTGATCAAGACAGTGGCTCAGCTGTGTGTCCTCTAGCTAAATATCATGTTGAGGTGGTAACTGACTGCACAGGCTGAGCCAGAGATGACCTGTGAAAGTCCTTGGGAGACAAGTGAGGAGATAATCCTCTACAAGTTCTGTATATGAGGCCTTGTCAAGATGAGGTTTTAAAATTCATGATGCTGGTGACATAACAGTAATATAAATACTGACAATAACTGCAATAGATACAGCTGAGCCCAGGAGAAAGTGTCAGAAACAACAGGGCTCCATTTTCTTGAAATAATCTGTTTTATGACACCCCCTTTGCACTTACATTACATACTCCCAACTAAAAAGTAAAAAAAATCTAACATACCTCAACTCTTAACAAAAACAATTAAGAAGCATCACAGAAGGAACAAATTTCAAGTTCTGTACAAGGAAGATAATCTTTCTTTCCACAGTAATTGCAACCCAAGTGCTACTGTAAGCATGGTTTGGGACAGCACCATTGTTTCTGGTGACTCATTTAACTTTTAACTCATGTAACTCATTGTTCCATGAGTTTCAAGAAGTGTCCAGGAAGTTCACACAGATGAGCTTTTGTTAGCTACTTGAACTGAGGGGCAGGATACCCTTGAACAGGGGTTGGCAACCTAAGGCCTGTGGACAAGATCTGGCCTACAAAGGTCCAATCCAGTCTACGTTTTACTAAGGATGTGCCAATTCCCCAGCTGTTTGATCCAGTCAGTTTGGCTAACGGCATGCTGACCACTCTGGCTGCTCCAGCCAGCAGCGACGGCCCACGCACACAGAGGGCTGGCCTTTCTGGCTGCAGCCTCTGCTCGCTGTCGCTGAAGCAGCCAGAAGGGAATAGTGGCCTGTGGTGTTGGCTGGGTTGCAAGCTGAAGCCCATGTTTGTAAAAGGTTGTTGACCCCTGCCTTAGGGAAAAATAAGAAGAAAAAACTGAAAAACCAACACCAAAGTTCTCCACCCAGAATGCAGCTTCACTCAAAAGTCAGCTTGAATGCAGCTTCACTTCAGAATTCTCCACTCAGACTGCAGTAAGTGTTCTGGAAGCATATTCAGGTGGATGCTACGTAAAATGAGAGAATGGAATAATGCAAAACATGTTGCAGCATCATGTAAAAACTGAGGAGCATCAACTCAAATGGTTTGGTCACATGAGATGGTAAGAAGTAGGTACATTGGCTGGAGAACAGAGGATCTAGCAATTGTGGGACAAATACTATGAGGTTGCCCTCCCCCAAAATTGAGACACTAAAGGACACAAAGCGAGTGTTAGCTTGAAGGATGCACTCAACAGGAAAACTTGGAGATGAAGAATAGAAACTGGTGCCTCTACAAGGGGCAAGATTAAGGCAAAAAAGAATTTGGCTATGAATACTTATAATTACTGTACTGGCATTAGACTGTAAGAACCTTTGGGAGGTGCATCTTTTGGTTTTTGTAAAACACATACAATCACAGCATATAAAAGCTAAGATCTCTTAAGAGTCCATCCTCAATGAAGATGCTCCTGCCTTGTTCTCAGCTTCAATGTGGATCAGATTAAATGTGCCATCCTCACAGAATGAATGGGGAAGTTCCAGCCAAGAATAAAGAGGGCTTCGCTCTGGGCTGGACTTCAGCTTCAGTCCAACTGATGCTCCAGATTAGGGCAGAGGCAGGCACTAGAAAGGAGATCAGACCTCTCTCGATCCCAATGTAGGGGGAGGGAAAGGAGTGAATTGGAACAAGGACTTTGCACAACTAAGACTGGAGGAGGCAAAAGTCAAGCCACTGACAGAGCTGAATGGAATGGGACTTGTCATGCAAGACGACCAGGAGCCGTGGCAGTGAGCGAGGAAAACCAGATACATAGATAAAGATAGAGAGAAGGACTTTGAGAGGATCTGCTTGGAAGGACGCTGATTTTGGACAAGAAAAACCGGGACTGATTGAACAAAGACACTGGAGCTAGAAATTATAGTGGAACAAAACCAGGAGAGAGAAAGACAGTCAAAGAGACAGGGCAAGGAACTGGAAAAGGAGAGGGCGAGAGAAGACAGACTGGGTAAGGAACATGAGGAAGGAGACTAAGGGTAGGAGTTAGTGGCAGTTTGGAGATTAGAGAGCACCCAGTCAAGGACCCAGAGGGAAGGGGCTGGGTCAACAGGATAAGGAGACAGACTGTGTAGGGAATTGTGGAGACTAGAGTTAGGAACTGTAACACAACAGGCGTGTCTACACAAGATGCTTAATGCGCAGTAGCCTAACAATACTGCGCAACAGCATGCCAGACAAAAACCGTGCTAATATGCTACTGAGCAGTAAGCTTCACTAGAAAAAAAACACGTGCCAGCACTACTGCGCAGTAATTGTAGTTACTGCACATTTAGTTAGTACTTCATTAAGCAAATAATAAACTAAATGCACAGTAACTTCTGCACATTAATGAACGTGTAGATGTGCTTAATGAGCCTGAAGGAAAGGACCAGAATTGGCCAGGCAACAAAAGCAAGATGGAAGAAATGAGAGGCGGGTATGTAAAATGAATATAACTGAGATGAGAAATCAAAAGTGGGGAAGAAGGAGGAATAGAACAGGAACAGATTGGAGCGAAGTAAACAGCAGGTATCAATATGGGATGGGAGGGTGGGGAGGAAGGAAGAGGGCTGGGCAGGCAGAAGAGTTTCCACCCACTAACATGCCTTCTTTTTCTCCAAAATTCTCTTTCCAGAGCCTGGCAAAAAATCTGGGTCTCACTATTCCTCTACTGTCAAACGTCTAGGAAAACCATTGATAAAGTTATTTTAATTTTGCTTCACAAAAAGAGTGACAACTTACTACTGTTAACAAGATACTCTGGTAATTCAAGTGGCAGAGGTCTATTTGGAGAACCTAAAGGTCTCAACTGTGCTGATGATCAATGTACTGTCACTATGGGGCTGCATATTTTGATTTTCTCTCTCATTTGCTTTTCCCGTTTTCAAAAAACTTGAAAATGACAGACACAAACACATGCAATCCTCTTCTCCCTCATGTTAAAAAGCTGCCAATTCAAGCTCTCTGAAGTTAGGAAATTCTAGAATTAAACTTGCCAGTACAACCTTAATTCAG